GCATCGGTTAGAAATTGCATTTGCTGACAATAACAAAGACCCTTAAAGAGTGGCTTAAAGAAGATTAATGCTTTCTTCTCTCTGTCTGGAGGTGAACAGCCCAGGCTAAGAATGACCCTTGGTCATCAGGGACCCAGGATCCTCTGTCTTCAGCTGTGCCAGCCCAACCAGGAAGCTTTCATCCTCACGCTGTCTCTGAGTCCAAGATGGCTGCTTGAGCTCAGCTACCATCACCTCATTCCAGACAACAAGAAGGAGGAGTGAAATGAGGTAGAAGAGTCCTCTCCCTTTTAATGAGCCTTTTTGGAATCCACAGACAACTCCTCAGCTTATACCTCATTGAGAAGAACTGAGGCACATGGCCATGCTTCCCTGCAAGGGAGGCTGGAGAAAGTAATGTTTAGCTGGGTACACTGCTGCCTCAAATAAATTCAGGGTTCTGTTACTCAGGGGAGCCAGAAGGGTGGGAGTTGGGATAGAACATTAGCAGACTCTCCTGCAATCCATAGGCAGGGTCACCCAGGACTGGAGTCAGGAGAGAGCTCTCTTGTTGGCCTTCCAGGGGGTCACTGGTTGGTGACTTGTACCTCTAAACCATGGATTCTTGTTGATAAAGTGGACAGGGGTGATACTTGATAAGCCCTCAGAAGTTGTAATTCTTGTTCCTTTTAGGTGCCTAGAGTTGCACACTGCAATGATTTAGACTGGGATTGTCAAAAGGAATTTTTATCCCTATTAAAGCTCTTTGGTTAGAGACCTGTTCATTTTGGCCTTGCACCCCACCCACAATACCAAGACAGGAAAAAGGGATCATCTTTGGAAACAACAACAACAAAAACAAAACCCACAGGGTGAAAGGAAGTAGCATTGTAAATTCCCACCCACTTCCATGTTATTGGGGGAAAAATGGAATACAGCCTCCAACACAAAACAAAGGCAGACCAATGCTAAATCAACTTTGAGCTACCTTAAATAAATATAGTGTAACTACAGAACCCTAAACGAAACAAGACACAGCTAAAAAGAACACAAGAGCCATCATGGAATCACAGCAACACTCAAGTGAGTTTTAATCATGCCTCCATACACCCCCGCAGCGGTGGCCCTTGGACACACCTATGCTGGGTCCTGGAGAGTGTGGGCAGGGGAAGGAGGCTGGGGAAAAGGAAGACTCCTAGGACTGGAAGGGGTAAGGAGAAAGCAGGAACAAGAATGTGTGACTGTGAGCAGTTTGGTTGCCCTGTTGCTGGAAGCTTCCTTGGCACCAAAAAGGGAGAGACATTTTGGAGTTCTGGACTGACCTCTTTGCATGTCTCTCTGTGTCTCTGCCATTTTTCGTTCACACACTTTATAAACATCTCTCCTCTGCATCCTCCAGGAGCAATTCCTGTGGTGTGGGAATTCTATACCCTCCACATCACTAGTTCTTAAGCCCTCTGTGGGTTGAGGGAAGGATGCAGAAACCACAGCATTTTTTTTTTTTTTAGAATCTGATAAAAGCAAAGAGCCTTCTTTACAGAAATAAGTACACATACTCAACATTAGAAAAATAATTTCAGGTAGTTCATGAGCCTGCAGATTTTAAATCCTTGATCTTGAAAGATTTAAATATAAAAAGCGCATGCCCTGGGGAAACACCCTGAGGGACTCTGGGTTTTCCTTTCTAAACTTTTCTGACCAGGGCGACATTCCAACTACTGTGTGTAATTAACTTTAATAAATAACATTTATGTCAACCTACCACCAGTAGGTTAACTTGTACAACCTTCACAAGTAACTGTATGACATGGGCAATATCACTGGCCCTACTTGAGAGATGAAGAAACTGAGGCACAGACAGGTAAAGTGACTTGCCCCGAATCACACAGCCAGAAAGTGGCAGAGCTGGGATTCTGTTATAGGCTAGTAGACTTCAGGGCCATTATTTTTGTGCTTTTCACCACTGCATAGTGGCCTTTACCTCTCTGTACACTAAGGCCATGCAAATCTGCCTAACTCTAATGCAGGTGTCAGGCCCACCAGTAGTGCGCTACAATCAGTTCGTAAGGCTCACAAGAGCCAGCTGCACACATCTCTTTCTGACTCCTCGTTCTGTGGTGTTATGTTGATAGCTTGAAATCAACTATGGTGGGAGTATTTGCACCAAAGCAATTGGCAGACACCGTAAGTGAAGGCTTCCCCCTCAGAGAGCTGTTTGTTAAGCATTTACCTGCACACCACTGGGCCCACTTATTTTAGTCCTACTCAAGTAACTGCAGCCTGTAGATCCAGCCACCCAGGCCCCGAATCCATGGGAAGAAGGGGTCTTCCTTCCAGCCAGTGAGGAGGATTTGGGTGTGGTCTGCTGCCCTGAGGCTTAGTGTGTGGGATATTTAGGGAGAATGACCCCATCGTATCCAGGCTCCAGCTGCCCTCAGCACCATCCCTCTCCTGGAATCCAAGCCTGGTCATCTGAGGTCCAGATTCTTTATACCACAGCAGACTGACCACTGGGGGATGATTCTGGTAGCCCACCTGACATAGGGGGTCCTTAGCTACCTAGAAGCTTCAGCAGCCTGTCTGCCCAGCTCTGTACCCCAGCTGTTGGACCCTTAGCTATTGATGCCAGCCATGTCTGGTTAACCCTGGCTCTTTGGGGTTAGCTACAGGCAGCTGGCCCCTCCCTCCATCCCCACTAGATACCAGCCCCATTCCTTCTCCTCCACCTTCTGGGAGCACCCAGCAAAGTGCCCAGCTGGGACCAATGCACATTCTCTGATCTTTGTCCATAGGGAAACCCCAACCAACAGCAAGGATTCCAGTGGGCCAGGTCTAGAGTGGAGCCTTCCCCAGGGGCCTTTTCACCAGAAAAAGTCTCAGAGCACAGACAGGAAATTGGATTACTATGATTATTACCATTTAGAGAACATTTGCCTTGTGCCAAGAGCTTTATAATTCTCTATATTATCTTTTTTTAATCCCTACAAGATCTTTAGGAGATAAGTGCTATATTAATCTCATTTTGTAAAAGAGAAAATGGAGATTCAGAGAAGTTAGGTAACATGCCTGAAGTCACACAGCTAACGAGCAGTGAGCTGAAATTCAAGGCCAGAGCTGTCTCACTCCAAAGCCCATGCCCATAAAACCTGGGTACTTCAACTGACAGGTACTGCTCTCAGAGCTGACAGCAAGTCCATGGCTGCTCCTTCCCCAGCCCCTTCTCAGGGAAATGTGGGAAGGGCAGCTCCTCCTGCCTCCATCGGGGTTCCCTGGGGAAGTCCCCAAGAGGGAAGGCAACCTTGGTCACCTGTGGCAAAACCTCTGCTAAGTCAGAGCAATGATCCTCCAGACACAGAAAGTAAGTGTGTGATGGGGTAGGGTATAGCTCAGTGGTAGAGTGTGCACTTAGCATGCACGAGGTCCTGGGTTCGATCCCCAGTACCTTCTCTGTTACAGCCAATCAATCAATCAATCAATCAATCAATAAACAAACAAACAAACAAACCTAATTACCCCCTCCCCAAAAAAACAAACAAGAAAAAAGAAAGTGAGTGTTCATCGCAAGTGTTCATGCAATGAGTACCTGCTGCATACACAGCATCCTCTTAGGCATGGAGGTAGTGGGAAGATGACTAGGACATGGTGTCTGTTCTCAAATAACTTACTGTCTCATCTAGTGGGTCACAGAAACAATGGCTGCCTTAAGGTGGGCTGTGATAAGGGCTATAATCAGTGGAGGCATGGGATTAATTCGGTTAGGACGATGTGGAAATCATCAGGGAGGAGAGAGCACTTGATTTGGGCTTTGACAATGAATAGGCATTTGACAGATGGAAGTGGGGGATGTGGGAAACCAGGAGGAGGGAGAGCGGATCAAAGTCACGGAGGCAGGGCAGCCCATGAGGGTGTTCAGTAGGGGTGGGGCGGTGGCAGAGGGAGTGGGCAGGAATGTGATGGAAACATTTGGTGTCCTGTTCTTCGATCAGCAATGGGGAGCCACTAGAGGTATCTGAGTGGAGAAGTACCATTATGGGATGGAGCAATGAGACTGGAGATAAACAGACCAAGACATCAGGTGGTTCAGACAGGAGGAAGTGAGAGCTGGAAGCAGGGGAGAGGCTACAGGACAGGCAAAGTGAGGGCAGTCCTGGGGGGCTGTGAGGAGAGAATGGACTGGACTCCGTGAAGGGCAGCAGCTGAAAGGAGAGAGTAAAGGCAAATTTATTCCTGAGTTCTTTAGCCTATGGAATTAGGCTACACTGCTGTAACAAAGAGCCCCATCCCGCCAATACAGAGGCTTAAATCAGATTGAAATTTCTCTCGGGCTTCTGTTATCCATGTTGGTGAGGCTGCTCTGCTACATGATGTCATTCAGGGCTCCAAGTGCCTTCCATCTTGGTGCTCCTTCATCCTCTAGGATATTGTGCTCATTGGGGTGATTAAATACAGACACAATTCCCACCCATGGGAAGAGGAGAGGGAGGAAGTCCAGGGCAAGCGATGTCCTTCTGAACAAATGAGGAAGTTGTTCATAGTCACCTGGCCACACCCAGCTGCAAGGGAGGCTGTAATGTAGTTTCCGCCCAAGTCGCCATGTGCGAGGAAGAATGGGAAAACAGATTTGAGGATGTTGGGCTAACCAGGAGTCTGCCACCTCTGGGTACCTGGAAGAAGTTCCAAGGGAGAGCAGGCTTTGGTCAGGAGGTATAGAGTGCAGCTTTTGTATGAGATGAACTTCTCATGCCTGCTGGAGATGTACATTTGTGAGGAGTAAGCAGAAGAGAAAGCTGGAACTGGGCCTGTGAGGGATGCGGGCCCAGGGAGGAAAAGATAGAAGAAAACTAGACTAAATGTGCAGCCTGAGACTCCTGAGGAAGGCTTAGGAGGAGCAGTCACTTTGCCAATAGCTTTTTTCTATTTTAAAAAATTCTTTCTTTTTTAATTGAATTAAGTTGATTTACAATGTTATATTAGTTTCAGGTGTACAACATAATGATTCATATTTTTTAGATTATACTCCATTTAAAGTTATTACAAAATAATGGCTGTAGTTCCCCGTGCTGTACTATAGATCCTTGTTGTTTATTTACTTTTTACCTAGTAGTTTGTATCTCTTAATCCCCTACCCTTACCTCCCTGCTCCCCTCTGCCCTCTCTCCACTGGCAATCATTAGTTTGTTCTCTGTAACTGTGAGTCTGTTTCTGTTTGGCTATACACATTCATTTGTTTTATACTTTAGATTCTACATATAAGTGGTTACCTAGGATATTTGTCTTTCTCTGTCTGAGTTATTTCATTAAACATAATACTCTGTAGGTCCATCTGCATTGTTGCAAATGGCAGAATTTTATTCTTTCTGTGACCAATATTCCATTGTCTATATGTACAGTAGAGTATATTGTATTCTTCTTTATCCATTTATCTGCTGGTTGGCATTTAGGCTGCTTCCATATCTTCTGCCAATAGTATTTTTCCAAAGATGGTGGCACCAGTATATCCCATACTGTGTACTTCTCTTGCACTACGAAGTTGACACTCCTATCTCGGTGAGTGATCTACTCTCCCTCCCCTTGACTCTGGGCAGGCCTGTGACAAGAGCAGAAGTGATGCTATGTGACTTCTGAGGCTGTCAGGACAGGCGACACCACCTCCTCTAGGGATGCTCACCCTGGGAACCCTGTGCTGTGAAGAAACCAAGTGGCCACATGGACAGGCCACATACAGATGCAGCAACAGCCTTAGCTGAAGTCCGAGCCAACAGTGGCATCAGCCAC